TGGCTGGGGGATTCTGGGAGTTGAAGTCCATTCCTCTTCAAGCATGCTGGCTGGGGGATTCTGGGAGTTGAAGTCCATTCCTCTTCAAGCATGCTGGCTGGGGGATTCTGGGAGTCGGAGTCCATTCCTCTTCAAGCATGCTGGCTGGGGGATTCTGGGAGTTGAAGTCCATTCCTCTTCAAGCATGCTGGCTGGGGGATTCTGGGAGTTGAAGCCCACCCTTCTTCAAGCATGCTGGCCAGGGGATTCTGGGAGTTGAAGTCCACCCCTCCTAAAGCCTGCTGAGTGGAGGATTCTGGGAGTTGAAGCCCACCCATCTTAAAGTTGCTGAGGTTGAGAAACAGTATCTTGGACCTTAATGAATTCTGGAATATCCAGTCATTTAATCCTAAAACTCTCTCTCTCTCTTGCTCTCTCTCTCTCTCTCAGATCACATTTTTGGAAATCTATCACCCACCCACCTTAGCGCCATGGCAAACCGAGGCCCCGCTTACGGACTCAGTCGGGAGGTTCAGCAAAAGATCGACCGCCAGTACGATCCGGATCTGGAACAGATTATCATCCAGTGGATCAAGGCTCAGTGTGGACCAGACGTCGGGGAGCCCGAACCGGGTAAAGAAAATTTCCAGAAATGGCTGAAAGATGGCACGGTGAGGGATTTTATTTTATTTTTCGATTTTGCTCTGTCGCCTCTATTTTTCTTTTTCTTTCTGCCTGCTCTCCCTGTATTGGATGAAGCCGAACTGGCTGCCAAAAATTATTTCAGAGGGTATTTTGATCGAATCCACTGTGGGAAGGGCGGAAGATTTAAAGCAAAAAAAAAAGTACATGAATAAAAGCCTACCCACGTTGGGAAACTCTTAGGCCTAAAGGGAAGAATCTGCATTAAGAGAAAAAGCTCTATAAAACAGCTCTCGTTAAATTAAGTATATAAAGCCAAGGGAGAGGAAAAGAAAGGACTCCAGATGTTGATGCAAATATAAATAGTTTGAAACTCTCTTGTGGGGTTTTAAAAATAAATCCTTTTAAAAAAAAATAGCTAGGCTACTAAATGGAAGCATTAGTGCAATCCAGAAAGCAGAGCAGATTTTTAGAGCCACACTTTTTATTATTATTATTATTAGGGACTAGCAACTTATTCCTTGACATTTAAGACACAAAACCGCTGTTTGACTGATCATTTAGGAGAGAAAAGCAGAGATTTTTTTTAAGATCCATATTTTCCTAATAGGGACTAGCAACTTCTCCCTTGACATTTAGACACAAAATCACCATTTGATTGATGGTTTAGTGGAGAAGAGTAAAGATTTTTAGAAATATGCTTTTCTAAGAGGGACTAGCAAATTTGTTCCTTGACATTTACACACAAAATCACCATTTGACTGATCATTTAGTAAAGATTTATAGAAATATGTTTTTTTCTAATNAAGTTGTGAATGCTCCAACACTGGAAGATTTTAAGAAGAGGTTGGATAACCATTTTGTCTGAAGCGGTGAAGTGTTTCCTGCCTGAGAAGGGGGTTGGACTAGAAGACCTCCAAGGTCCCTTCCAACTCTTGATATTCTGTTCTAAAGCATCTCTGCCTTTCTGCCTGCTTCCCCACCCTTTGAGGAACTGATCCTCCATTTATCAGATTTGGAACTGGAGACAGAGGAAAATTTTAAACCAAGCCACAAGGCTTATGATGTAAGAATTGGACTGAGGAAGGAAGGAGGGACTGAGAAAGAGCCATTAACAGGTATTCCCTCCGGTCATATGAGAACACCTTTGATTTGCCACAGGTACGGATGATGTAACCCATCAGACCTGCCCCAACTTTTGAGACTTGGAATCCATTTTGTCTTGCAAGGGGAGGGGAAGGGGGGGGCACAGACAGTTAGGGTGTGCCAGGCCCCTGAGGGACTCTCCCCCCCCCAACGGCTTTTAATTTGAGCTCTTCAAATGAGAAATGTCAGAATTCAGTCAGATTAGAGCTGGGGGGGACCTTGGAGGTCTTCTAGTCCAGCTCCCTGCTCAAGCAGGAGACCAGTCTCTTAACAGAATAACAGAAAATAATAATAATGATGATGATGATGATGATGATGTCACTCCCGGTCCTTCTTTTCATTAAACTAGACATACTCAATTCCTGCAACCGTTCTGTATGTTTTAACTCTCCAGACCAATTAATTGTCTTACTTGCTGTTGTCCCAAAATCTCATTATCTTGTTGCAATTGCAAAATTGGACTCGCTTAACAATCGCCTTGCTTAGCAACGGAAATGTAGAGCGCCGTTGTTATATTATCAAGGACTACCTGTACTCCTGAGTCAACATTTCTGGCCTCATGGCTGGCAAGCAGGTGGACGTGTCCCCCCCCCCCCCTCAAAGGAGGAACTGATCAAGGCTTGGATAAGAGAAGAGAACAAGGTCCAGCTTCTTTTCTTCCAACTGGTTCCGGATTGGCTGTTTTTGATCAGGGGCTAGACATGAGTCAGAAGATCTGGTTTCGAATCTCGTCGGAGGGTTTGCCCCACCCTGCTGAGTAAGAAGAAGGTGGGGTGTTGCCAGATAGGAATCCAGGCCAAAGCGTTTTTCACCAGCTTTGGTGGAAGCATTTCCTTTAATCCCCTTGGCTCCTGATGCCGATCTGGATGGTGTCAGAAGGATGCCCCTAAGCGCGTACAGAGGGCTCTGCTCACCTGATTCCCAGCCACTGTGCTAAGAGGCATGTCGGGACAGGCAGTTGAGAGCCAGAGCGTCTTCTGAGGCAAAACAAGCTTGATTTGACTCGGGTTCCTTCACCCGCTGACCAAGATTAAGTCACTTGCCAAAGTTTTGGAAAGTTTTATTTCGAGCATTTTTTGAGTTTCTTTGCTGTCCTTTGATTTGCATCCTTTGATTTAAAACACAAGAGAGTCTAAAGTTAGCAGCTTTAAGACTTGTGGACTTCGACTCCCAGAATTCCATGGCCAGCATGGATGTAAACCTGAGAGTTGAAGCCCACCCCTCTTCAAGCATGTTGGCTGGGGGATTCTGGGAGTTGAAGTCCATTCCTCTTCAAGCATGCTGGCTGGGGGATTCTGGGAGTTGGAGTCCATTCCTCTTCAAGCATGCTGGCTGGGGGATTCTGGGAGTTGGAGTCCATTCCTTTTCAAGCATGCTGGCGGGGGGATTCTGGGAGTTGAAGTCCATTCCTCTTCAAGCATGCTGGCTGGGGGATTCTGGGAGTTGGNTGCTTTTTAAAAGTATATGGTGCTAAATTTGAAACCCCTCTAACTTATAGGTAAAAAACATTTGTGCCAGGCCTTGTGGTATTTTTATATTTTTTTAATTCTACTTTTATTATTTATATAAATCACTGAAGGTGGTGAACATAGCCAATGCTGCTTCCTCCTCCTACACTGTGAGCTAGGTTGGGCTGCCAGAGAGTGACTGGCCCAAAGTCATCCAGCCTCCTTTCATGCCTTAGGTAGGACTAGAACTCATAGTCTATTGATGATAGGCCCATCCAGTGGGCTTTCATGCCTTAGGTAGGACTAGAACTCATAGTCTATTGATGATAGGCCCATCCAGTGGGCTTTCATGCCTAAGGCAGGACTAGAACTCATAGTCTATTGATGATAGGCCCATCCAGTGGGCTTTCATGCCTAAGGCAGGACTAGAACTCATAGTCTACTGATGATAGGCCCATTCAGTGGGCTTTCATGCCTAAGGCGGGACTAGAACTCATAGTCTACAGATGACTGGCCCAAAGTCACCCAGCTGGCTTTCATGCCTAAGGTGGGACTAAAACTCATAGTCTACAGATGATTGGCCCAAAGTAATCCAACAACCCTCTGAGCTGGGTTGAGGTGACAGAGAATGACTGGCACAAAGTAATCCAGCCGGTTTTCATACATAAAGCAGGGCTAGAACTCATAGTCTACAGATGATTGGCCCAAAATCACTCTGCTGGCTTTCATGCCTAAGGTGGGACTAGAAGTCACACTGGGTTTCCCCAAAAATAAGACAGGGTCTTATTTTCTTTTAACCCCCCAAATAAGTGCTTGGTCTTATTTACGGGGAGGTCTAATTGTTTTTGAGGTGCAGGAGCAGGGTCACCTCATGGCTGCTCCTGTGTTGCAATATTTTCAGGGCGGGCTTATTTTCAGGGGCGGTTTACTTTAGCGCATGCGCTCAAAAGCACGATTGGGCTTATTATCCAGGGAGATCTTATTTTCAGAGGAACAGGATAATTACTGGTCATTGGCCCAAAGTCACCCAGCTGCCTTTCATACCTAAGGTAGGATTAGAATCATAGTACCCTGATTTCTAGACTGGTGCCTTAACCACTAGACCAAACTGGCTCTCATACCTAGCATTACTAAGCAGAGAGAGAAAACTCTCTCTTTTCCTATTCTTTCACCTTTGAAAGATAGACCTCCAACAGCACACTGCTGTGATCTCAATGAACTTCACACGCACGGTGAGATCATCTCCAGGGGTGTTGCTTTCACAGCTGGTGTAAATGTATATTATGGGATTTGCATGATGACCTCATCACATGCTGTTGTTTGCCTCCTTGTAGATGCTTTTAATCTTTTCACCCTTGACTCCAACAGCTTCAGTTTCTGCCATGAGGAACAGTGGACTTCTGTTGCTTCTAGCATATGACTGATGCCGTTTTTGCTTAGGCTGCAGAAAATAATAATAATTCTGCTAAGTAGAAACAACCATCTAATCCCATAGAATAAAGCTGGTGGTGCTTTCCATTCAAAACCTTCATAGTTACTTTTTATCCTCTGTGTTTTGAGCTCATAAGATGATTGAGGATATCTGCAAACAATGCTCAATTTTTACTTTGCATTTAATGCATTACTAAACATTAAACTAATTAGAATATGTGTTAGAAATAACACAAAACAATTAAAGGTTTCTAAACTAGAATGATGAGCATAATCAGTAATATAATGTCGTTTTTTTAGATCCTGGGTAGTAATTATTAAATGTGCATATTAATTCGGTTAATGGGCCTGTGGAGATAAATAACTGAACTTATAATTCTTTTTTTCTTTGGACGTCTTGAGAAATTAATTTAGGAATTAATGTAGATTGAGGTTCAGCGAGCAAATATAACTCTAAACATCCAAAGTAACTCAAAGTCATTTTCTTTTCAGACAGCATTGTAATAGGGTCTCAACTCAAATTATTGCTAATAGCAACAGAGAGCAAAAAATGTGTTATTCTGTTGTTAGTTATTGTTATAAGTATTGTTAATTAAACTCTAAGAAATTTATCAGGTTGAATCAAATATAAGTCCAATAAGATGAGCTTGGAAACTTGGAAGTAATAATATTGAGAAATAATATTTTCCCAACAATACATTTTAAGTGCACTGGGATATGAATATTTTTCTCTTTCATCCAATTCCATTGCTTTCCAGATGGGATCACAAGATCATCAAAACTAGAGCATAACCCAGTAAGACTGTACATTTTTCATACATCTAAAGCAGGGGTGGGTTCCTGCCAGTTCTAACCTCTTCTATAGAAGAGGTTCCACAAATCTACAGTGCTGTTTAGAACCAGTTCCA